AAAAAAAAAACTCCAGATATCACACTCTTTATTGCATTAAACCACTATTATATTAATCCAATAGAAATTATCTCCAAATATCTCTGCTAGAAGGGTACACAACTGCTTTAATTAAAAAAGTCTGATGAATGACTATCATACATATCCTCTTGCATCCCATCCCATAACATTTTACAAAGGGAATAGGTGAAAAACCTCAAAAGATGTATCACTAAATGCACTATTTTTTTTATTCCTCACAACAATGGATGAGTCAAGTAGAGTTTAACTCATCAATACTATCGATTAAATGAGCTCGGTTAAACCAGGTTTTTAATTTATCTTGTGGCAACAATCCCACATTTATCATGCACCCTGCCAAATATCATTTCAGTAAACACTGTTTTTTAACAAAAGCTGATCACAGTGTCAACCTAAGGTAACAATGAATGGCAGAGTGATACGAGAGGGGATGTCAGGATGACCAGGTGTAAATATCAGAGGGGCACAGGATGTCCTGGTTCCATGTTTTGAAAGGTACACTGGAGAGGGGGTGTAGGAAGGGGGGGGGGGAGAAGGTAAAGCATTTCCTATTTCAACATAAACCCTTTCTCAGGAGGGAAGGTATATGACTGAATGACTAAAATTTTTTTCCAGAGCAATGTTTTACTATATATATATATCTCCAGAAAATCTAATAATTTCCAAGGAGAATTTGGGCTGAAATACTTTTATTTTTGCGAGAAATAAATTGTTCTCACAAGGAAGAGTCAAGTTTAAACACTACCAAAGCCCTTGTACAATAGAAAAACAGTAATCATTTGTAAATGTCACTGCTAATACGCCTCTGGAGACATAAAACAAATCATATCCTGCCATTTGTTATACCTCCTATTACAATTACAGTGACACCATCATTGTTTAAGGCCCATTACTGCTTCTTGAGTGCTCCCTGTGTCACTTTGAAGAGTTCCAAACTATAACATGGTTTTCACTAAAAGAATACCATTTTGATACTTTGAGCTGTACTTCTGCCAATCTCAACATCACCAGCAAGGTTCACTACACTGATTCAGAAATAAAAATGACAGACTTCAAGAGGTAAAGTTCTTCAATGTGCCATGTTGGTAACTTTGATACCAAGGAAAAAAACAAACCCATGAGATTAGTTTGAGAGAAATGATAATTTGGGTTTATGAAGTGATGAATTCTGTGAAGTTAACTGTACATGTGTATTAAAATAATCACTTAAAAAACTTCAGTAGGCAAAGCATGGCAACTAATCTATGCAAAATAAAGCAGAATCCTAATATTCCACTGCCAAGTATATATTATGGTTATTACTTGAAATTTTCAAATGCCTCACTTTTTCCAATATTTCTTTTTCAGAAACTCGGAATCAGCACTTTAAAATATTAATTTTTTATCAAAAAAATTTTGATGGTGGTGGTGGTAGGGGAAATCAATTCATGTGCAAACTTATTGAGTAACTACCGTATAAAAAGTAGCTGTTATTCATACTTACAGCCATCACCATGGCTAGCAATTTAACTGTCTGGTAAGTAAATGGCATTTTTCATAACCCGTTGCTCTGGTGAAAATCCTACTGTAGCATTATGTCATGCACTTTACCTTTCAAACCACAGTGGCAATTTAAATAACTGTGATGACCATAACCTCATGTACATCACCTTGTTTATCAGGGTGACAGAGCGAATATAACTGTTAACACCATTTCAACATCATGTACTTCACCTTGTTAAACAGGGTAAAACAATTTAAATATCTGAGAACACTTACCTTATAAA